TGTGTGTGTGTGTGTGTGTGTGTGTGTGTGTGTGTGTGTGTGTGTTTACAGGCAGAGGCGTTGGTGCAGTATCTGGAGGAACCATTAACCCAGGTGGCAGCATCGTAGTTTTGTTGCTTCTCACCTTTCCTTTTCTTCCTGGAGTCTGACAGAAGGTCACCTGATCCGTGTCGCTCACCGACTGAACATACGGCCCAACATGGCGGCGGAGCGCCGCTCTCTGCCTGCTTGGTGTTTTTTTTATTATGATTTACCAATTTAGATTTCAGGAAGAAGTCATTTGTTGACCGACTACAAAGATCCAGTTTTCTGTCAGCTTTGCTGTTTAAAGCAGAACTGCAGCCTTTTCTACACTCTTGCAAATACATTGTGGTGAAGATTTGTGGAATTTTTTTGTCTTTGTCTGAAAAATGTAGCAAAGAATATTTACCTGTTTTTGTTCAGAATTGTTGAATAAAGAAGATTCTAAGCCAGAAAACCTTGTTTTTATTTTTAATCAACGATGAGCAGCTGCAAAAATCTGAGGTGAGCCATTTTGTTGTAGAGCTGAAACATTCACTTTAAAAGGTTTATTAAGCCTGAGAAACTACCGGTTGTGGTAAATTTGTCTATTTGTGGATGTTTTTTTGTAGAATAAGTCAAATATTCTGAAGAAAATGAAGACAGATTTGAAGTTAACACATCATAGTAAATATTAAGGTATATTTAGTGCCTGAACTACTAAAATAGGTTGTTGCAATTGGTTTTATTCCTTTTAATTTACATTTTTTGTATTTGTATTTTTCCCCATTTATTTTTTTTTACTTGAAATCACTTAATATTCCATCTAATTTTAATTGAGCCATATTCATTGACTTTATTTAATATTGAATTTTTTTTAAATTTCAACTTTATTCTCACTTTGATATGACTTTATTCTCTTATTGAGTTTTTTTTAGTAATATTTTATTCTCATATCACAACTTTTTGCAATATTATGATTTTATTCTGGTATTAATGTAAATGAAAGAAAAAAAACTAATTTAATATAAAAGTTTGATTTCTTTTTTCTGGCAAATCTTTTACTTCAAGATCAGAAACGTCAGATTGTCAAAATGTTAATTTAGGAGGTAAATTTTTGACTTTTGAAACTGATTTTTTTTCCCCAAATTTATGAGATTAATCTCATAATTTCTGGGTTCTTGGTGGAAATGTTCTCCTCTTTTTTACTTTCTATTTACAATTGCCCTAATTCGCCATCGTATGATGATAAATTTGTCTAGTTGAGCCCAAAAATAAAAGGAAAACTGTCTTTTACTACAGCACACATATATGATTTTATATGATTTGGATTTTCAGTATGGTGCATTTTGTAAAAGCACTATTTTCCTTTCTTTATTTTAGTTTTGGATTGTTATTGCTGTTACTTTCTTGGCCTTTTTGACCCATTTGACTAAAGTTTCCTGTGAGTCAGAGGCGCCTCCTGCTTCCTCCAGTAGGGGGCGCCTCGCCGCTCCTCAGGTGTTCCTCTCTGCCCCGCATGTTGCGCTGCTGCCGCTCCCCAGGCGGGGAGCCGCCTACTTTCAGCCTGGAACAACCTGGAAGCACCAAAGTGCGTCCTGTTCAAACACAGCAGGCTGTTACCTGAGGCAGAGCAGGAAGCTCCATGCGGCCGGCCCGTTCCCTGCCTTCATAACGCAGCAGCCGCCGAGAAGCAGCTGGTTCACCTTACATCCTTTAACCTGAGGCTGTAACCAGGGGCAACCTGGATGGGCACAACATGGGCTCAGATGAAGCTTACAACTTTGTATTTAAAGGTGAGTTTCTGTCTTTTACTTTTCATCCCTGCAGATCCTGAACAGTGGAAGGCTCCGTCATCATTGAACCTCCTGCTCTCTTGGACTGTGTGCTAAATGTTAACAGAACGCCTAATGAACGCCTAATGAGAAGAAAAAAATCATTTCTGCAGACCTTGGTTTTGTCAAATTTGACTTCAGGTGGAGGAGTTGCATCGCTACACTGCAGTGACGTCATCTGCTCAATACTGTCCCTGAA